CATCGCTTTGTCTTCATCCTCAACCATGATATCTACATTTGCCATATCTGAAATTAGCTTCGTGAAGTTGTTAACATGCTCCCGAATGAAAACTCCCCTCTCATCTTAAATTGGTAAAACCTCTTCTTCAAGTGAAGCCGATTCTCAATGCTCTTCGTCAGATACTTCTCATTGAGTGCGATTCTCAATGCTCTTCGTCAGATACTTCTCATTGAGTGTTTCCCACATTCTCTTCACCGACGTCTCGTTCATTACGTCATAAATAAGATTTTCCCACATTCTCTTCACCGACGTCTCGTTCATTACGTCATAAATAAGATCCGGCGTCAAGCATGACCAAATAACTCCACAAGCTCTACTATTCATCTTCTTTCAAACATTGTCCTCCATATCAGCGGGTTTCTCTTGTAACTCACGAGTTTCCTCCAAATTTTGTGCATCCAAGGCGTCCATTACTTGACACCTCCACAAACCAAAATTGATCTTGCCGTCGAACTTTGGAACATCAATCTTTGTATTATTGATGCTCAGACTGTATCGCCTTCGAAAGAGACGATCCTGATGTGCTTGTTTCTCCCATGTTGTCGATCTAATTTTTTAAATAGGAGTCCTTCAGCGAATCCTTCGATCAAGCCCCAAATTCAACTCGGAGCTTTGATACCACTTGTTGTGCGCAGCGGAAATTTCGGCAGTACCTCCGGTGCGCAAGGTGCAAAACAAGAGATTAGATCACAATGAAATTCTCGTTTCTCAAAGGAAACAAGAACCAAAAGCCAGATATCTCATCAAAGTGAGATATCAGCTCTTCCTCTTGTCAGCTCTAGGATTGCGCGTCGAGGGAACCTACAAGCTATTACAAATCACGGCAAGAACATAAAATTTACGTGGTTCGACAAATAGCCTACGTCCACGGGGCAAGGAGGGGGAGATCTACTATTAGAGGGAGAGATACAACAAGGGTTTACAATCTCTCAATTTAAACCCTCACACAAACTCTCAGATCCCTCACACAAATATCTCTCTCTACAAAAGAATGCACAAATCCCAAAAAGAGAGAGCCGAAGTTGTTCTTTGCCCGCTGCCTTAGCACATGAATCAACCGCTAAACTTCGTAGCCGCAAAACCCTGGCTTGCACTCTGCGTTTTTTCTCTGCAGCCGCAAAGAGAATCCCCACCTCGCTTACACAGTCGCAAAAACACAAATCCTCCTTGCACACACTTCTTCACGAAACCCTAGAGGGTTTTATAAGGCTGATCCAACTTCGGGTGGGCCATCAAGCATGCGAAACGAAAACAAGAAACCGCTGTATGTGTAAATTGTGAGCATGGGGTATCATGCACGTGGGTGGACCCCACATCCCACCCATCTCACGTCAGTTTCACAAGGCCATGATAGAAAAACTGAATAGTCATAATTCTTAAAGAGCTTTGCTAATGGTTGCCTATGGTCATCCGTTAATGTAGATTAAATGCAATAAATATGCACTCCCTCCTAATAATATAGCTCAGTTGTCATGATTGATTCTCTATCCTCTTCTTCACAAAATTTATTTCTTCAATTAGTTGTTATGTGTGTGGTATAAGCACTCCATACTATCACAAAATTAGTACTAAAAACCAAAATTTATTTATTAAAGAACAAAAATCATTTCTCTTCTCACTGCCTAAAAAATTTAGAGCATGACTAATTAGTATCATAGTAATCAATAAAAAATAATAACTAATCGAGCCTAAATACCATCATTGATTATCACAAAATAGTACATTAAATACAAAATGTACCATCCAAAAATATACCTACAATAAAAAACAATTTAATTAGATTTGAATGCATAATGTTTGCCCAAATTGAAAAATAAAGGTCACAATATTAAAGCACTACTTGCTCTCTTAAAATTTCATAATAATACATGTCAAAAGAGTTTTTTTAATCATTTTTGTGGAGGGAAAAATTCTAAAAGTTGGAGGGATAAGTTATATTACCGCCACTAATATGTGACACTTTTAAATGACCGAGTGGAACCAATGCTTAATAGGTTCCAAGTTAAGCTAATTCAAGGATTTTTTTTTAATTTTTAATTTGATCCAAAAATATCAAATAAGCACAAGATAGAAAGAAAGGACAAAGTGAGGAAGGAATTACTAGAATATTTGCTGAAGGGGTATCTTTCCTAAAGCTCACTATTACAAAGAGCTCATAGGATTTATTGCAAATGACTTGTTTGTGAGTACAACTAGGCTCATAATGATTAGACACCTTGTTTGTAAGATGCTGCAGTTCAATTCCAGGTCTTGGTCCTCTCTCTTCACCTCTCTTCTAATCCATTCTAAAACATAGGAAGATACCTTTTTCTCCTTGTATGCATATCTCATGCTAGCATGGCGTCAAGATCCAAAACTATTTCCTTAAGAGCTTAAGGCAATAGGGCATGATGCTCTAAAAATACCGAGTGTAACCGAAACTTACTAGAGTCCAACTTGAGCTGATTCAAGGATCTTGATAGAGGTTAATTTTAAATTTCATCTAGAAATATAAAAGAAGCACACGATCCAAAGTTCAAGATAGAAAGCACAATGTAGAAAGAAACGAGAAAGTGGGAGGGGGAACAATGGAATTATCTGTTTGAAGAGGCCCCTTTTTCTATACTTCATTATTAAGAAGAATAGGACTTAACTGACCAATAACTTGTTTATGAGTATCATTTGGCCTGTAACAATGAGGCATCCTGTTGTTGTATAGTATGTTGTAGTTTAATTCTAGATCTTGGTTTTCTTTCTCCCACCTCGCCTCACTATGTACTCCCTAAAGAAGGAAAAATGACGCAAACAGTGTATGTAGCTGACAAGTACTTGCCTTTACCGTTGAACTAGAAGATTTTAAATAAACAACAGTCCTAGGTTGCATCAGAATATTATGATCTTTTATTACTTTATCTATGTCCCTAGTTTTATAAGAAAACCTAGTTTGCAGGTGATGGTGAACGTTTGGTAAGCCCTTTGCCTAAATTAAAATTTTTAATTACTATCCTATATTTTAACACTAAAGGTATGTGCATTTTCCCTCTGGGGTTTCTTTCATTCTCATGTAATTTGTAGGATTAGCTTCGTTTCAACTCAGATGTATTTCATGAGTAACTGTATCATGATACCTTGTACTCTAGTACAACCACGAGCTAGAAATAAATAGTGAGTAGGATAGCTGCCGCTTTGTATATCTCTATCAAAGTTAGGCATGTATCAAGTACTGGAATTTGGCATGCTAAAATTAGATCTAGAAACCCTCCCTAATACAAGACATGGATCAATTGTTGGTCTGCTGCTTTATATATGAATAAATCTGATTAAGGTTGCGTATTCACTCTTGATAACATTTTCACAATATTTGAAGTTTTTAGAGTTTTAAACATACACAAAACATTCTATTGATCGTATATGTGTATGATCACTTTTGGTACTGAAAATGTTCTACCAATTTCATAACAATTTACATGCCAATATGTGCTCTATATGAGGGTTGATAAAAGTACCAAACTTGACACTAAATGATGGTTATTACAAAATTCATAGTTAAGGTCAACAGAAAAATATTTACCAGAGTTGGATCGCACTTCAAATTATAAAATCAAGACTTGCTACTATCTGGACGATCATGAGTTCTAGTGTTAGGTAGGAACCATCTAAACCATTATAAAAAGAAAAGGTAATTAGTGTTAAGAATGAAGCAACATTGCAACAGTATCATAGTTCTCAATTCTCATATGTTAATTTTGAACAATCATTATAAACAAATACTCTGTAAGTACCCAAGGTTTTAAATGTCGGATGTCAGGTTCATGTCGGACGACTGAAATCCATGTCGGATAGCTGAAATCGGGGATATATCGGGGGATATAGACTAAATATCGGATTACCATATCGGATGGTGCACATATATATAATATCAAGTCCTAAATGTAATCTAAGCATTCCTAAATTCAATATAAGCATACTTTATAAATTCTAGAGGCGGCGCCGGTGATGGGTGGATTCCGATGTCGCAGGGAGGCAGTGCCGACGACGGGACGTCGTAGGGAGGTAGTGTCGAGGTCTTCTTCTTCTTTGTCTGCTCGAGGTCCTTCGAATGATTCACCGACCACCATCTTCCCTTTATCTCGACGACGGGATACCCCGCCGTCCTTGGGTTCGGTTGGGGTTCGGATTTCGAGGCGCAATGGGAGATGGACGACAGGGGGAGGGGGAGAGTGCAGAGATGGAGGTGGGGGAAGGGCGTCGTCGTTCACGAAAGGAGTGATGGGTTCTCAAGTCCGCTGCAGCCTTAATTTTTCTCTTTTCTTTCTATCGGCTTCATAAGAAACCCTTAAATATGAGAACTGGTCAAACGGGTTTGGATTTTTATCACTAAACTCAAACCCAATAACAAAAAATAGATCTAAAAAAGGGCCATATCGGTCGATTTTTCAAAGCTAAAAAATCGGTCGATATGCCCGATATGACCCCGATATTTTCGATTTAGCCTTGAAAACCGACATACGAGTTGAAAACGCCCATGTCGTGTTGCTCAAGCCCTCAAACCGACATGTCGGCTGACATGACATGTCGGCCGACATTTAAAACCTTGTAAGTACCTTATACAATCTATTCAATGTCCTAAATGTAATATGAAATTATATTTGATATTTTCAAGTGCAATTAAAATCCAGTGTAAATCAATTAATGTTGACCTGAACAAGAATTCTAATCCATTTCCCTAATGGATTTGGTTTGGATATTACACAAATGATAAATCCTATCTGAGCCCAATTAGCTGCCTAAACCTAGCCAAGCTGATTAGGTAGCATCCCATTTACTGTTTAATTTAGTCCTAAAATTTTATGCTCATATTTTGATTTCCTTGTAGAACTTTTAAATGGTCAATCGTTATAAATGTTGTTATAGAGTTTTCGCAGACAATAACTTTATGTGTATATTTCCCTAATCTGTAAAACCTTTTTGTTTTGCAGATGGTGTTGGTATTAACCCTCAGCAAAGTGCAGGTAAATCCTCGATTCTGTCAAATATGCTCTGAATTAGATTTATTGGAAATCTGGTCTATTTTTTATCGTATGGTACTCCTGGTTATTTCTATACTAGCAACTATATTACATGGGTACTCCTATTTTGGAAGCTATACCTGATACGTACCCATACCCGTACCCAAACTTTTTGGCAATTCTTGAATATATGCATACGTTGTTCAAGCGTGTATTCAATTATATACTACATTTTTTCATTTAAAACACTCCTCATACACTTCTTGGATGTATATTTTACACTTCACATCTATTTCTAATAGATTGACCTTATACAAATGAAAAAATGATATTGATTTTATGTCAATTATTAATTTTAATACATATAAATATACATAACATACACATTTTTAGCCGTGTCCCTGTACCATACCTTTAACAAATTTTCCGTGTCTAGTACCCATACCCATGCCCATGCGACTTAGGCGATATCTAGTGGTTGTACTAAATCTCTCTTTTGACTAACAAATATCAAACTTATGGGTAGTCTCACCAAGTTTTGCAACTCAGATATTTTTGCTGTTTTTTCTATACAAACATTCAATTATAAATAGCATCTATGACTTCAAATTATCACCCATTTCATTGTATGCAATATTTTCCGTTCTACAAATATATAGGGCATAGTAGAAATCTTTAGTTAATCTAGTAAGCGCCTTAAACCTGGCATCTTCATAGCACTTTCTGACAGTACACTTTAAAAGAGGTGACCTGTTTTTGCAAGAGTATTTATTATTTGAATGTGTGGATAATCTTTTGAAACCTTAGATAATTGCATTTGATGAATGTTTTCCTCAAGATTGATACTGTGATGTTTTTTGCAAAAGCAGTTATCGTTCAAATGTGTGGATAAGCTTTTGAACCCTAGTTAATTGCATTTCATAATTTTTTTTCTTCCAGGTTGAACCTGCAATCAAATTGTATTTTCCTCGATTTGGATTAAGTGGTCATGTGACATGTCTGTGAGAGTTTCGGAGAAAAATAATGAAAGTAACATGATCATATTTATGTATAGATACATGCATACATGTATATATACATATACATACACATACATGTACACATAACACATCATATAATTACACACCAACATATATATAGGAAAAATGAATATGATGTGGTAGCTCATTCTATTGAATGAGCTATACCAAGAGATATCCTGGTGGTGAGGCCTAAACTGCTAGTCACATTTGAATGGATGAACCCGTACTTTCTTGCTCTTGTGCTCATTTTGCTAAATGACGTGACATCGTATCTATATGTTACCCATCTATCTGCTAGTAGAAAATTAGGCATCCTAGATAGAAATATCCGTTTAGGATTAGCATCCTAGATGGAATTCCTTCTAGGATGTTGCATTCTAGAAGGAATTCCATCTAAGATGAAATTTCGTCTATGATGCTAAAACATCCTGGACGGAATTTAGAATCGTAGATAGAAATTTCCTTCTAGGATGCACACAAATTCTACTCATTAAATTCTAGTAATTTGCTGCCATCTTATACCAATGATTATTGATGTATTACAAATGTAAAGTTATACAAGTGCAGGAATTACAAAGAGAGAAGGGAGGGAGGGAGGGAGGGAAAATTGTGTTATTGTAGCGCATCTAACTTCATATAGTAGTAAATGTCATACATGAACTTATACAATATGCCAATTAAATTTACAATAATTCAAGAAAATGGCATGTACAGTGGTCGTCGTTAACTAGATACATAAATCTCAACAGAAAAAACTCAAGGACAAGAACCTTCTAAGATGAAGGTTCCAAATTTGTATCGAGTTGCTTTCTAAGTTCTTGTAGTGTTTCAATCTAAAAAGCTCCCGCCTGAATGCCTTTAATAGCAGTAAGACCTACAACAACATGCAATTTTCATAAACAAGCCTGATGATATAGCAAAAATGATTCATCGAGTTGCCTTCTAAATTCACTGGGGTTCAACCTTAAGACATAATATGATGCACACTCCAACTAGACAAAATAGTAAGTCATCAAGTTCTTAAATTACAAGTGTTAGGCTTATCTTCATATCAAGCTCTTAAATTACACCTAACTTTCAATTCTGCATTTCAACTGTAAAGCATTAGAATACTTTAGTAAAACACAACAAAAATATTCTAAGACCTAATGAGAGACCTAAAAAAGAATGGACATACTCATAATGTAGTAGTGAGCTTCAATGGCTTGGCACCTTGCATGTTGATTATGCCTGTAATGCTCAAGTTAAATGAATGTAACTTTTAGTACTTGGTAAGATATTAAATAAACTTTATATTTAAACAAAGACATATGGTAGATATTTCTATGCATTGTAGAGTTAAAGTTCTACCCTACCACTAATTGTCTCTACTTGATGGTGAAAGACATTCACAATTCAAGAAAGCAATATCAGAGGAAACTGTGTCATATTTTAGCTGAGATCTAACAAGATTAAACAAGGTAAGATAATGAAGTGCAAAATACTAACAACAGTAGATGTCATGAATTTTTTTTTTATAGTTGCAGGAATGAATTTATGAAGGTCAGATTACTCATATTCGTAACCCTCTAATTTTTATTTTGATAAAATTATTAATCAACGATACGAAAGAAAATAAAAGAAAAAGTTCATGTTTGAGAAATTTCAAGGAATACAAGTAGACCTATAATGCATTGATTGAAACCTTGTCACTCCCCGATATGTAGATGCCCTCGAGAAAAGCCACCGCGAAGTGGGGGACTATGACGTAGCACGATCTATCAAGCTCTATAAAAAGTGATTAAACAAACTAATATGCAGAGTAAACGCAAACTCACACTAAAATTATAGCGGAAAATAACTTTAAATATCAAACAATATGAACTAACAATTAATAGTAATAAATGATGCCAACCCATAGCAAATAAGTAATGCGTTTGCGATAAACCTGAGGCGTGAAACGTCGAGCACCGTCCACAAATCCTAATTAAGTACTCAGCGTTGGAGTCGAATTCATATTAGCTAGATCCTGTGAAAGGGTTTGAAAATAAAATGGTTAGTTCAATATAAATCAAGGATGCAACAGTTCTAATTAACCACAATATAAGTAATCTGATTAAATGAGAATAAGAGTTTAGATCTGAGTTTTGTAGTTCTCTGTCACTGTGGAATTATGCAGGGATCAAATCTGTGAATGAGGCTGCAATGTTGAGAATACCGGGCACTGTCCACGATATTTGTTAGGGGGGGCGCTGTTCACGATACTGTTCACCGAACTGTTCACGAGGCGCTGTTCATGGTGGTCTCTATTCATGGCACTGTTCATGGAACTATTTGCGGGAGGCTTAAAAAGACGCAATTGAAATCACTCTAGAAATCTCCAATAATTCTAATTCAAATTTCACTGCCTATTACATGAAGTTCCTCCCTATTATAAATGGTATAAATCCTGTCATGGTATAAATGGTATAGGTAAAGGTGTATATAATCTGGTGTTTTGTTTACTATCCTTTGCTACTTGACAAACCCTTTAGTGTGACGCTACTTGTGCAACATCTTTTTAACACTAGGTCAATAAAATCTATCCTTAACCACAAACATTGTCTTATCATGACCAAAATGTTCTGTAGCTCCTCTTGCGTGTAACTCCCAAATAGGTTGATCCCTAAGTGACGTGTTGGGGATGCACAATCGGGTACCTTTAAACAAATAACAATATATGATAGTAAAACCTACTATACTTTAAGGTGGGTCATGTGTAAGAGAAGTGTAGATATCACTAAAATCTCTAGAAGCGGAATACTCTCCTAATATTTGTTCAAATCTAATTACTCGTACATTCATCGTGTTTAATATACAGAATGTCCTGCTTAGTGCATCGGCGACTTTATTTTCTACCCCGGATTTGTGTTTAAGTACACATGTGTACTCCTGAATGAATTCTACCCATTTAATATGTCTAGGCCCTAAATTTTTCTAGGAATTCAAGTATTGTAAGGCTTGATGGTCAGAGAATAGGACGAATTCCTTAGGTAACAAATAGTGGCGCCAATACCTAAGACTCTGTATCACATCATAGAATTCTTTATCTTGGGTCGATTAGTGTTGTCGAGCATCATTTAATTTTTCACTAAAGTAAGCTATATGATGACCCTCTTGACTCAACGCTCCTCCTATACCTACTCCTGATGCATCACATGCAACCTCAAAAACTTTAGAGAAATCAGGCAGACTTAATACTAGGGCAGTGGTAAGCTTCTCCTTAATTTCCTCAAATGCTCTAGTAGTAGACTTAGTCCATTGAAATTCTCTTTTTTTAAGACAATTTGTAATTAGGGACATAACGGTACTAAATCCTTTGACAAATTTCCTGTAAGATGTAGCTAGCACATGAAAGCTTCTGACTTCATGAATGTTCTTAGAAGTAGATCACTCTCTAATAGCCTTAACTTCGTCAGGGTCAGCTCATACTCCTTCACTAGAGACTACAAAACCTAGAAAATTGACTGATGTAGACATGAATTCACACTTATTTAGATTGACATATAACTTTTCCTTACAAAGGACATCTAAAATCTGTATTAAGTGAAACATATGTTCCTCCCGGGTTTTGCTAAATATTAAAATATCGTCAAAATATATAACAACGAATCTTAGGAACGGACGCAAAACTTGTGTCATTACCCTCATAAAGGTGCTAGGTGCATTGGACAATCCAAAGGGCATAACTAACCATTCAAACATCCCGTCTTTAGTCTTAAATGTGGTTTTCCACTCATCACCATCACGGATACGAATCTGATGATACCCACTTCTAAGATCAATCTTAGAAAATATACTAGATCCTGCTATGGCATCTAATAGGTCATCTAGTCTAGGAATAGGGACCTTATACTTAACAATGATCTTATTAATTGCTCGACTATTTACACACATCTGCTAACTACCGTCTTTCTTAGGGGTAAGCAAAACAAGAATGACACAAGGACTCAAGCTCTCCCT